GTGCAGTGAGGATAAAAGCCAAAAGTAGAGGGGAGGGAGGAGGAAAGAGGAGGGCACCAGGAGGGGGGAGGAAGGGAGCCGGTTCTTTTGCAGTCAGCTCCTTTTCTTCTTCCTCCTTCCTCAAGCCCTATACCCCCTTCCTTATTTATAAATCAGACAAGAGGAAAAACCAGACAGTTGCCTTATATTTATTGACGGTGTTGGTTTAAATGTCATTTGTCTGAACTTTTGACCAATCACCATACCCCCATCAGTCACAGATGAAAGCCAACCTTAGCATTCTCACTGGACACATAAACTGGTTAAGAATGAAGACATGCAGACCCTGCCCCACCTCCAAGTATTATCCATATGATCCCTACCCTCTTTAATGTTCTCATCAATTTTAAACAGCAAAAGAACTTGGCAATGTGTGGAGATAATTGGAAATGTGAAATCTAGTCATGCAAGAGAGTGATGGCTCACACAGCTGTCTGCTGGTCAGGTGAGAACAGAGTGGAGGGCACACGATGTGGGTGCCTAGGTAGGGTGGGATTTGACTTTCCTGACCTCTCTCTAGCTGGGGGTTTTAAAATGTCATTCAATGATGCGTATCTGAGGTATTCAAGGAGAGGGACAGGGACTCTCAACCAAACCAAAACATGGTGATAGGTTCGAAGGCCTGGACCTTGTCTTAATGCCCTTAAGAAATGACTCTGGCCCTAGCCGGTTTGGCTCGGTGGATAGAGTGTCAGCCTGTGGACTCAAGGGTCCCAGGTACGATTCCACCTTGGTTGTGGGCACATCCCCAGTAGGGAGCGTGCAGGAGGCAGCTGATCGATGTTTCTCTCTCATCAATGTTTCTAACTCTCTATCCCTCTCCTTTCCTCTCTGTAAAAAAATCAATAAAATATATTTTTTTTAAAAAGAAATGACTCTGAATACTTTACTATTATTTCCCACCCACCCTTTGTTTTGCTTTGCTTTTCTAAAGATAGTCTTATGCCTGAACCACTCCCACTAATTAGAAAGAAAAATCTTTCGTCCTCCATTCCTCTATGGCTCCAGTGAATCCTAGACTCCTTAAAATCTCTGGGTCTAGTTGCTCACAACATGTTTATGATGAAAACAAAGGGGCCTCAGGACACCAGGGAAAGCCAGGAGTGCAATCCATTTCTGCAATACCAAAGGGGCCCAAAAGGGGCAAAGGGAAAAAACAATTTGCAGAAGGCACAGCTTTGGCAGCATCTTATTACAACTTCTAGCTGACCGGGGTGTAGCCAAATTAGAGACATCTGTTTGGAATTTACAACAGAAACAAACAGAAAGCATGAAATCCCTAAGACACACACACACACACACACCAAACTCTAACAGCTCTTCACTGCCTTGACCTCCACACCATTCCCCCACTGGGCCATGCTAGGTTGTAGAAGGGTCTTCCACCTGCCTCCCCACCCACCCCACCTCTACTCACTCATGCCATCCTCGGAACTTAACAACTTTCCTCTATCCTTGCTTTTCCTCCCAGGGGGGGAAAAAAGGTTCTCCCACTTCTCAGAAATCTCCTTCTTTGGGTCTCTAGTTCATCTTTAAACTCCCTGAGCTGCTTGTAAAGGAGAAGATTATATCGTATTCTTACACTTGATCATTAGCACGAACCTCGTAAAACCTCACAAGATGTCGAAAGTCACTCCTCCCTAAATAACCTCGCAGGTCTGAGAGTGAGGAACAGAACTCAGAGACCAGAGAAAACCCACACTCACAGAAGTTAATTAAGGAAGAAGATGGAATATACTTGAGAAGGCTGTCCCCAGCCGCAGTACCCAGAGTGGCAAAGGGCCAGAGAGGCCCCAGGCTTCCTATAAAGTGGGTTTCCCTCCCCTATTCACCTCCAAGCAAGGCAGAGGCCAAACACTGTCTGACCACACCGTCCTGTTGATGGACACACCCTCTCCTCCCCCCTCCCCCCAAGCATTCTCAGCAGCAGTTCCAGACGCTCACCTGTTCTGTTCAATTTTCCTCTTTATTCTCTTCCCACTGGCGGGCAAACAGAACCAGAGCAGTGCCACTCTTCAAAAATAACAAAATGTTTTATACACATTTCTGTATATACAACTGAACAACATTTTACATGTCCCTTTTGCACAGCAAAAGATATAAACATCCAGCTCTGAGAACAGTTATGTACAAAAAAAGATGTCAAAAATACTTCACAACAGTGCAAAAATATTTTACACAGTATCATGGAGTGAGATCTTTTGAGCAGGATGAAGGTGTGTGTGTTTCTAAAGGAAAACTCCTTTCTTAGATATTAGATGTCTTTAACTGTAAACAAAATGCAACTTTCTTTCCTTTTCCTCTCTTCCCCCCTCCCCCTCCCCAAACAAATATTTGAGGAATTTGGCAGAATTTCAAGGGTCTTAATCTGAGGTAAACAACCCAAGCTCTCGCACCAAAAGACTGGAGGCAACGAGGCGGCACAAAAACAGCCTCTAACATTGTGAGAGTAAATTCCTTTTTCTTTTCAATGATATGCCAATGACAATGCTAGGCTGCTCCCGGGTGAGGGGTGGGGAGGAAGTTAAGCCCTCCTCCAGGGGCCCCAGCTGCCCCACAAACAGGAAGCTGGCCGGCGGGCCCCTGACGCCTGCAGGACTTTTGCTAACTTCAGCGGGCATTTCCCTCACCCCTGACCCCGAGGGGCTGCCTCTCTCCTTCCTGGTAGGGTTTCCCCACCCCATGCCCACACATCCAGCCACATCTCCGTAGGCAACCTGAGCTCCACTTAAAACAGAGCCAAATGTGTTCAGGGAGAGAAGCAGGAACTCTGGGCCTTAAGTGTCCCATTTTCCCTTTCCTGGGCGCAAGCGGTGTCAGGGCTAGGTCAGGGAGCTGTCGAGGAGGCTCTTAGGGAGTCACGGTGGGGCGGCAGGGCGCGCGCAGAAGGTTGCGGGGAGCTCAGCCCGAGCGCGGCTCCTCTGGGCTGGCGCGGTCCGTAGGGCCAGACTGGTCCCCGGCGGTGGCAGAGGTGGCATCTGGGCCCCCGCCTTCTATGGAGCTCTCGCTGCCGGTGCTCTCACCAGACAGCAGGCGCGTCACCCGCAAGTCGGCCTGCAGGCTTCGCACGTCGTTGCCGAAGCTGAGCTCGCCCAGGTCGTTAATAAGCTGCGATAGCTCGGCCTTCACGTCGGAGGAGCTACCCAGCAGCAAAGGCGGCGGCCCCGCCCCGGGTCCCAACGAGACCCCACTGCCCCCCAGCGCCTCCTCCCGGCCACTCTCCAACGTGTCCAGCAAGTCCCCACATTCGAAGTGCATGGCCACCACCAGCGCCCGCTGCGCCTCGGCCTCTTCCTCTGCCGGATCCTTCTCCCTGGCACGATCCTCTTCCTCCTCCTCCTCCTCCTCGAGGCAGCTCTCGGTGTGCTCCTCTTCCTCTTCTTCCTGCAGCTCCTCCTCCTGCTGTTCACCGACCAGGTCCTCAGTGATGGAGCCGAGTTTGGGCGCGCTGCGGCTGCGCTCCACCGGCGGCTTGTAGCAGCAAGGTCCGTGCAGGAGCAGCTTGC